TTGAAGTGTACACCATAGTGTACATGTAGCAAGGTCCTTACCAATTGAACTTTGCTATTCGTACACTAATTTTTGACACATCGTTTGACACTTGCATTTTTGTCAGGTGTCAATTGGATGGGAAAATTGCTTTAAATTTAAACTGTCCAACAGGATAATGTCATGTGACAAAGTGTAAACTAAAGTGTACACATAGTGTTCAGGTGGCAACGTCCTTACCGATTGAATTTTGCTATTTGTACAATGATTTTTAACACATTGTTTGACACTTCCATTGTTGTCAAGTGTCAATTGGATGGAAAAACTGTTTGCAATTTAAACTGTTCTATAGAGTAATGTCATACGCGAAAGTGTAAAGTAAAGTGTACACCATAGTGTACAAGTAGCAAGGCTCTTATTGATTGAACTTTTCTATTTGTACACTGATTTTAGACACGTTGTTTGACACTTGCATTGTTGTCAAGTGTCAATTGGATGGAAAATCTGTTTGAAATTTAAACTGCCCAATAGAGTAATGTCTCGTGGTAAAGTGTAAACTAAAGTGTAAACCATAGTGTACGTGTAGCAAGGTTCTTACCAATTGAACTTTGCCATTTGTACACTAATTTTTGACACATTATTTGACACTTGCATTGTTGACAAGTGTCAATTAGATGTGAAAATAATCTGTCCAATTGGGTATTGTCACGTGACAAAGTGTAAACTAAAGTGTGCACCATAGTTTACATGTAGCAGATTCTTATTAATTGGACTTTGCTATTTGCACGCTGATTTTTGAAACTTTGTTTGACAATTGCATTGCTGTGAAGAGTCAATTGGATGGGAAACCTATTTGAAATTTGAACTATCCAACAGTGTAATGTCACGTGGCAAAGTGTAAACTAAATTGTACACTGTAGTGTACATGTAGCAAGGTCCTTATCGATTGAACTTTGCTATTTGTACACTAATTTTTGACACATTGTCTGACACTTACATTGTTGTCAAGTGTTAATCGGATGGGAAAACTGTTTGAAATTGAAATTTTCCAACGGGGTAATGTCACGTGGCAAAGTATAAACTAAAATGTACACCATAATATACATGTAGCAAGGTCCTTACCGTTTGAACTGTGCAATTCGTACACTGATTTTCGACACGTTGTTTGACACTTTCATTGCTATCAGGTGTAAATTGGATGGGAAAACTGTTTTAAATTCAAACTGTCCAACAGGGTAGTGTCACATGGCAAAGTGTAAACTAAAGTGTACACCATAGTGTGCATGCAGTAAAGTTCTTACCTATTGAACTTTGCTATTTGTACACTAATTTTTGAAACGTTGTTTAACACTTGCATTGTTGTCAAGTGTCAATTGGATGAGAAAACTATTTGAAATTTAAACTGTCCAAAAGGGTAATGACACGTTGCAGTGTAAACTAAAGTATACACCATAGTGTACATGTCGCAAGTTTCTTACGATTGATCTTTTCTATTTGCACACTGATTTTTGACATGTTGTTTGACACTTGCATTGTTGTCAAATGTCAATTGGAGAGGAAAATCGATTGAAATTTAAACTGTTCAACAGGGTAATGTCATGTGGCAAAGTGTAAACTAAAGTGTACACCATAGTGTACAAGTAGCATGGTTCTTACCGATTGAACTTTGCTATTTGTACACTGATTTTTGACACGTTGTTTAACACTTGCATTGATGTCAAGAGTCAATTGGATGGCAAAACTGATTGAAATTTAAATTGTCCAACCAGGTAATGTCACGTGATAAAGTGTAAACTAAAGTGTGCGCCACGATGTACATGTAGCAAGGTCATTACCGATTGAACTTTGGTATTTGTACTCTGATTTTCGAAACATTGTTTGACACTTGTAATGTTTTCAAGTGTCAATTGGATGGGAAATTATTTTAAATTTAAACTGTCTAACAGGGTAATGTCACGTGGTAGAGTGTAAACTAAAGTGTACACCATAGTGTACATGAGACAAGGTCCTTACTGATTGAACTTTGCTACTTGTACACTAATTTTTGACACATTGTTTGAAACTTGCATTGTTCTCATGTGTCAATTGGACGGGAAAACTATTTGAAATTTAAACTTTCCAATAGGGTAATGTCACGTGGTAAAGTGTAAACTAAAATGTACACCATAGTGTACATGTGGCAAGGTCCTTACCTATTGAACTTTGCTATTTGTATACTGATTTTCAACACGTTGTTTGACACTTACATTGTTGTCAAGTGTAAATTGGATGAAAAAACTGTTTGAAATTTAAACTGTCCAATAGGATAATGTCACGTGGCAAACTATAAACTAAAGTGTACACCATAGTGTACGTGTCGCAATGTTCTTATCGATTGATCTTTCCAATTTGTGCACTGATTTTTGACACGTTTTTGACACTTGCATTGTTTTCAAGTGCTAATTGGATGGGAAAACTACTTGAAATTTAAACTTTTCAATCGAGTAATGTTCTTGCCAATTGATCTTTGTTATTTGTACACTATTTTTTGACATGTTATTTGACGCTTGCATTGTTGTCATGTGTCAATTGGATGAAAAAACTGTTTGAAATTTAAACTATCCAATAGGGTAATGTCACGTGGAAAAGTGTAAACTATAGTGTACCTCATAGTGTACATGTAGCAAGGTTCTTACCGATTGAACTTTACGATTTGTACGTTGATTTTTGACACGTTGTTTGACACTCGCATTGTTGTCAAGTTTCAATTGGATAGGAAAATTGTTTGAAATTTAATCAAGTGTGAATTGGATGTGAAAACTAATTGAAATTTAAACTATCCAGCAGTGCAATGTCACGTGGCAAAGTTTAAACTAAAGTGTGTACACCGTAGTGTTTATGTAGCGAGGTTCTTACCGATTGAACTTTGCTATTTGTACACGTTGTTTGTAACGCCCCAATTTTTTTCATTAAGCATAAACACGGGAACGTTACGAAAACTCATTTTTTCTTTATTTATAAAAATGCGGAACTATATAAAATTCTTCAATAAACAAATAATTGTAACGTTTAAATTAACATTATTGAAAGCGTATCTAACCATAAACATAAACTCCTAAGTAATTCAAATAATGCGTTCTAAATTAAAATAAACAAATTGCTAAATTTAAAATGGCAAACTTATTTCTTTTTCTCTATTCTTTATCCACTTGGCAGTCCGCATCACCAATTCTCCACTGTTCCAATCGACCCGAACTAATCTGTAAAATTAATGTAAGAGTGAGTATTAAAAATACCCAGTAAGATACGTGCAAATTTCCATACACATGTATATAACAAATAAATAATACACTTCATACCGCTCTTCTCTTATGGAGTATATCGGTGACCAAGCGACACACCCATCTTAGGTCCTCTTAATTTTCATGTAGAAATTTCATATCTCTTTCTCTAGAACCCGAAGGTCCACTAGCATTCCATGTATATTTAATCGCATATAAGAGTATAAGAAAACGTAAACACTTTGCACATAAATGTATCTTACTTGTTATCAAAAGAAATATGAATGAAAGTTCCAAACTACTGAATTTCTTGATTGAAAAATCAGCTTGCTTTCTTCCTCTAAAAGTATTTTTCTCTCTGTCTTGTGCGTAAAATTTCTATGAAACTGTTTATGATCTCCTTCTCTCTCTCTCTACTCCCCCCTTTTTTTTGTTTCTTTCTCGTTTTCTGTG